TTAGGTCAGCTTTGTTTTCAAGCTCTGTTCACTTTGGGTCCCAGATGGCTGCCAGAGTTCCCAGCTCCAGGATCCAGCAGGAGAGACTGTCTCTTCTCCCCGGCAGCCTTGTAGTCATATCTCATTGGCCAGAACTGAGTCACATGCCTTTGCCTCAGCCTGTCACTGGCCAGAGTAATGAGATTACTGATTTTCTGAGATCGAGTAGGGTCTACCCCTGAGAAAAGGAGCCCCGGTGAGGCAAATGGTTAAGCACTGGGCTGCCAACTGGAAGGAACCTATCCAGCAGCTTCGTTGGAGAAGACCTGGAGGTCTACTTCCGTAAAGATTACAGCCTAAACCTCGTAGGCACTAGCCTGAGAGGCCAGAACTAGGTGGTGCCCGGTTACCACTACCATCCACTCTGACTGGGACCACAATAGGAGGTCATGGGGAGAATGAGGGAGAAATGGAGAACAAAATTCTCAAACTCAAAAATAAGGCCGGACTCACTGGTCTCCTAGAGACTGTGGCCCTTAGATGCCCTTCAAACGTGGAACGGAAATCACTCCCAGAGATCGCGTTTTAGCCATACGATAGACAGGCCTATAAAATGAACAATCACAGCAGTGAGGAATGTACACCTCAGAACAGTCAACTGTCCGAGACCTAAGGGGCAGTGTTTGCCCAAAAGCCAAGTTCGGAAGGACAGTAGGGGTAGGAAAGCTGGGTAGGGGCAGGAAAGCTGGGCAAATGAACACGGGGAACCCAGGGAGGAAGAGGGGAGAGTGCTGACACATTCAGGGGTTTCCAACCGGTCACAAAACAAGCTGTGTATAAACTGTTGAATGGGAAGCTAATTTGCTCTGTAAACTTTGACCTAAACAACTATAAAATGTTCAGGAAAAAAAAAAAAGCAACTCTATAGGGCAGTTGTACTCTGTCACGTGGGGCCCTGTTGAGTTGAAATCCACTCAGTAACACCCAAGAACAACAACTACCCCTGAGGAGTGGATAGGGTCACTTTTCCTGAAGGATTGTTACCCAAATAGGGTCCGTGCCCTGGAGCCGTCGAGCCAGTGAAACACACTCCAAGTCAGAAAGAGTGAGAAAGTTTTAATCTTGGAAGTGTACACCACTGGGGACCCCGCAGCATTGCAGGCAGTCCTTAGGGAGTCCCAAAAGGCATTTTTACATCAGAGCTTATATGTGATTTTTACAAAGGTTAGAAGTGTCTTTTGGCACATAGCCCACAGATGGCGGGATGGGTTACACATTACAAGATAACTATAGGAGACTCCCTATCAGGAGAAAGATATATGGATCTGACCTCTGGGCTCTAATCTTCCTGGGGGGAACCTAAGTCATAAAACACAGTCATTAGCAAAGGTATGTGCAAAACAAAGCCATTAACGAAGATATGCGAAAAGGGAGAAGGCAAAGAAACACAGGTTCATTATGGCATTGGTTATGTCAAGCCCTCCGCTGCCCATTCTGAAAAGGAGAAAACATGCTGGGGAGTATTAGGGTCACAGGGCGAATACCTTTTCAAAAGTCTGTGTTTATAAGATATGTAAACACCTTATTTAGAGGCAGGAAGATGGATGAGATGACCTCTCAAGGCCCCTACCCAGCCTAGTTGTCTATGCTCTTCCAATTAGAATGCCTGGGTTCATGAAATAAACCAGACATGATGATCTTCACTGCCTAATAACTCTTTTGTTCTGACCGGGGGTTGTCCTAGCTTTTCCCAGCTGCCTCCAGGTGTGCTAAGATGGTGTTTTAATCAAAGCACATGCTTGTGTCCTGGAGGAAAACAAATGGCAGTCACTTTGGCCATTTGGAAATCATGCCCTCCCCTGTGGTAATGTTGTCTTGACCTAGATGTCATGGAGTATTGGTTAGGCATTCAGGAAATACCTACTTGCAGCCCTCGAGGAGTTAGCAGTTAGGAGGGGCAGGTCCTCCTGGAACACAAAGAAGTGAGACTCTGGTGTCACAGGAAGCCTTGTGAGTGATGCAGAGGGAGCCCAGGGAGGGGAAGACGCGTTTCCCACAGGACGCAGGGAAACATCATGGAAGATGCGGCATTTGAATCGACTCTTGTGGGACTTGCAGATGTCCCAGATGAAAATGGGAAGAAAGGCCATTTACAGCAAAGGAAATGGTGGGAGAAAAGGCACGGTTATGGATTCAATTGTGTCCCCCCCAAAATGGATATCAACTTGGCTAGGCCATGAGTCCCAGTGTTGTGTGATCATCTACCATTTTGTGATCTGATGTGATCATCCTATGTTGTAAATCCTAACCTCTATGATGTTAATGAGGCAGGACTCAATCTACAGGATTAGGTTTAATCTTGAGTCAGTCTCTTTTGAGAAACAAGAGAGAACTGAGCAGAGAGGATGGGGACCTCATGCCACCAAGAAAGAAGTGTTGTGCTGAAAAGCTCCTAGACCAGGGGAAGACTGATGCCAAGGGCCTTCCCCCAGAGCTGACAGAGAGAAAGCCTTCTCCCGGAGCTGGTGCCCTGAATTCAGACTTCTGGCCTACAAGACTGTGAGAGAACACTTCTGTTTGTTAAAGCCACCCGCTTGTGGAATTTCTGTTACAGCAGCACTAGATGACTGAGACAAGCGTTAAGTGAGAAAGCACAGGATGCCTGGAAGGTGGGGCACTGAGGGCCAGTAGCAGGAGAGGAGGGTTAGCCCAGACTGTGGAGAGCATTGAGTGCCGCACTCAGGATCTGTCTTTTATTTGGTGGTACTTAGTATTTTTGTAAAACTAAATACTTTGCCTGACCAGGGACACAATAGAAGGTCCCAGTTTGAATGGGAGAAATGTAGAGCAAAACTGTAATTCCTCAAAAAAGGCCAGACTAGCTGGACTGATAGAGATTAGAGGAACCCACGAGACTATCAGCCTAAGACACCCTTTGAACTTGGAACTGAAACCACTCCCAGTGATCACCCTTCGTCCTGGCTTATAAAATAAACAGCACCACCTGTGAATACCGTGCTCACTTAAATTAACCAACCATATTAGACCAAATCGTTAATATTTACCCTAAAACAAAGATAAGCAGCTAAGGAGAGGCAGGGAAGCTAGATTAATGGAAACAGAACAAAAATAAAATGGAATGAAAATAGATACTCTGCTAGGACTGGGAAGACCTAAGGGCCGTCTTGGAATGTCTTTTCTCTGTCCGAAACTCGGATTCATTCCAGGATGTGAGGGCAGGTTCATCTTTGAGTGCCTCCCCCCCATGTGGCAGAGAGCAACCTCCGCACATTGTCAGTTAGTCTTCACCACCACCCCCAGACCCCTCAGGTGAATGGTAGTATTCCCATTGTACAGACGAGCAAACCAGGAGTTAAGGGTCTGGCCTCGGAGACTGATTTCTTCCCCATCCAGTTGCCCGTTATTGTCTTCAGAGAAGCGTTACTCACCTCCCTCTGGCAGAGTGCATCCTTTCCTTCTCTTTTCCTTCCAACAGACATTGGGAAGGTGAGGAGGGTACCTTCAAACCTGTGAGGGAGACCATGACATTTATGCTCCGTGGCCTCAGGGCGGGGCCAAGGGGCCTCAGGGTCACTGTCATCCTTGGGTAGCTCAGTGCCCATCTTCCCTTTACTGCCTGGGAGAGGTAATATGCTCTTTCCTGCTGTCACAGAGCTCGGAGCCGGAAGGAGCCTTAGGAGAGTCTCGCTGGTTATTGTCGTTGGGTGCCATCGAGTGGATTCCAACTTAGCGACCCCACGTGACAGAGAAAACTGTTCCATAGGGTTTTCTTGGCTGTGACTTTTTGGAAGCAGATCTCTAGGCCTTCCTTCTGCAGAGCCACTGGGTGGATTCGAACTGCCAACCTTTTGGTTAGCAGCCAAGTGCTTAACCGTTGGGCCACCAGGGCTAACCCCTCATTTTTCAGGTGGGAAGCTGAGGCCCAGAGCAAGTCAGCCCCACACCCACCTTCACACAAAGCACAGCTGGTGGCAGGGCTTGGTCCACTCTGCCTTACTGACCCCCGGTCAGAGTTATCATCTTCCCAAGTTTCCAGCCTCCCGCTTTGCCCTGTCACCACATCTCCTCCCCTCTCAGGTTCCCCTCCCACACACACTAAGTGGTTTTTTGTTTTTAACCTTTCTTGACTTAGGAAAGAAAACCTGCTTCGTCCTTTGCAACGAGGCTGACCTCTAGATAAGTGCTTCATTGGGGTATAGTTTTTTTCTCTCTTTTTTAATTGTGCTTGAGGTGAAAGTTTACTGAGCAAATTAGTTTCTCATTAAACAATTAATACACACATTTTGTCACATGGGTTGCCAACCCGTCAACATGCCAACACTCTCCCCTTCTCGACCTTGGGTTCCCCATTTCCGTTGGTCCAGCTTTCCTGTCCCCTCCTGCCTTCTTGTCCTTGCCCTGGGCTGTGTGCCCATTTAGTCTCAGAGACGTGGTTGAACTATGTGTATTATGGTTTGTTTTGTAGGCCTGTTTAATAGTTGGCTGAAGGGTGAACACGGCGGTAGCTTCTGTGTGGCCATAGAAATAGGGGTCTGGATTCAGGTACTTTCCCGTAGTTTAGTTCAGGAAGGATACCCTAGTCTTGTGAAGTGCATCAGGAACTTTCTGGCTGACTGTCAGGAGCGGGGATTCTGGATCGGGCAACCGAGGGGATGACCTCTTCAGGCCTGGGGGGAAGAGGCGTCCATGCAGTGTGCCTCCTGGAACCCGAGGACCAGGGTCACCCCACTGGAGCTCTGCAGGGCAGTGTGTTTTGTGATCTCTGCTGCACCTGTGGTATGGTGGGGAGGGCATTGTCAGATGGCCCCGGAGACGCACCACCACCCGGGAGTGAAGTGATCGTGCGCAAGCGAACGTCACCTGTCTGAACCTCAGTTGTCCGCACGTGTGGAATGGCGATAAGGCCCACTCCACAGGGCTGGCACAGGGTGCGTGTGCTGGGGCTGCCTTGTGCCTGTAGACCGTCAAGGTAAGGGGTTACGTTGTCATTGTTGTGTTAGGGCAGCGCAGACATTCTCAGGCTGACTCTGCAGAGCGAGCTGACCGGAGAGGAACTTGAACACATAGCCCAGAAGGTACGGAGGTTTCTGTGGGGCGAGGCCTCCTCCTCCTGGCTGCCCCCCTTCCTTGCCACTGCTTCCTGGAGGCGTCTTTGCTGTGGGCTTGGGAGACAGGCCCAGCTGAACTCTGCGTTGTGTGCCGCTTTGAGGGGCGGGGCGACCCCGCGAAAATGGAAACTAACCTGTGATGTCTACTAATTTTCCTTGTCCAGTGTTCTGCTGCTGGGTGGTTTCCGGTAACTGTTCTGAGATGAGTTTTTAGATGGCAAAATCAGACTAACCTCTCGAGTCTCTCGAGGAGCAGGTCTTCTCCTGCTTGAAGGGCAGGAGCTCCGTGCTCACCGTGCATTTCTGAGCCATTCCTCACTTTCTCTGGCAGACGGTCAGGAAGACCTACACCATGGTGTCCGGCCGGTCAGCTGGTCAGTCTCTGGCCTCAGAACTGGTGGAGTCCAATGACGGACATGAGGAGATCATTAAGGTAAGCTTAATTTCCCTCCACCTTTCTCCCTTTGGTAAGCCAGAGGGGGTGGCTGACATTGCCGAAGGGAACTTTTGCTTTGCCTGTGGGATGAAGCAGACCTGAGATGCTAGTTTCTGGCCATCTCCTGGGAAGATCTTAATTGGCACTGGAGACGAGCGGATGAGGGGGCATGGGGAGGTCTGGGGAGGTCTGGGATGATCTTTCTTGGTCCCTGCTCACTGCTCATGTTTAGCTGTTGGAGGTTGTGGAGACAGGTGGGAGGTAGCTTATGGAACTCATTTTAAAATGAAACAATTTTTATTCTTTTTAAACAGCTGTGTTCATATACCATACAATTAATTGACACATTTACAGTGTACAAGCCAATGGTTTTTAGTATATTTACCGAATCATGTAAGCATTCAGCAAAAACCAAACCCATTGCTGTCGAGTCGATCCGACTCATAGCGACCCTGTTGAACAGAATAGAACCGCCCCATGGGGTTTCCAAGGCTGTATGTAATCTTTATGGAAGCCGACTGCTACATCTTTCTCCCGAGGAGCGGCTGGTGGGTTTGGAACCCCTGACCTTTTGGTTAGCAGCCGAGCGCTTAAGTATTGAGCCACCAGGACTCCTCTGTGCAGCCATCACCACTGTCTAATTCTGGAATATTTTCATCATCCCCACAATAAATCCCATACCCAGTAGCAGTCACTCCTGTTCCCATTTCCCCCCAGCTTCTGGCAACCACTGATCTCCCTTTTGCCTCCCTGAGTTTACCCGTTCTGGGTATTCCGTACGAATGGAGTCATACGACGTATGGTCTTTGTGTCTGACTTCCTTCATTTAGCATAATGTGTTGGAGGTTCGTCCAAGCTGTAGGATGTGTCCGTATTCCATTCATTTTTATGGCCAAATAATATGCCATTGTATGGGTATGCCACATTTTGTTTAGCGATTCGTCAGCTGATAGACATTTGGTTGTTTCCACTTTTTGGCTATATTGAATAATGCTGCTATGGCATTTGTGTAAAAGTCTTTGTGTGAATGTATGTTTTCAGTTCTCTTGGGTATATATCTAGGAGTGGGATTGCTGGGTAATATGGTAAGTCTATGTTTAACCTTTTGAGGAGCCACCAGACGGTTTTCCACAGCAGCTGCACTGTTTTACAATCTCAGCAGCCATGGATGAAGGTTCCAATTTCTCCACATCCTTGACAACACTTGTGACTTTCGGTTTTTCGTTTTCTTTTTCAATAGCCATGTTAGTGAGCATGAAGTCATAGCTCGGTGTGGTTTTCATTGGCATTTCCCCAATGACTAGTGATGTTGTGTGTTTTTTCCTGTGTTATTGCCCTTTTTTATATTTTCTTTGAAGAAATGTTTATTTAAATCATTTGCCTATTTAGAAATTTCGGTTGTCTTTTTATTGCTGAGCTGATAGAGTTATATTCTGATACTAGACTCTTATCAGATACGTGATTTGCAAATATTTTCTCCCGTTTTGTGAGTTGGCTTTTCACTTTCTTTATGCTGTCCTTTGAAACACGAAAGTTTTCATTTTGATGAAGTTTCTAATTTATCTATTTTTTTCTTTTGTCTTGTTTTTTTTTTTTTTTTTTTGGTGTCCTAAGAAGACTCACAAAGATTTAACTTCTGTATTGTCTTCAAAGTTATAATTTTAGCTCTTACAAATAGATCTATAATCCATTTTGAGTTTTTTTGTGTGTATGGTGTGAGGAAGGGGTCCAACTTCATTCTTTTGCATGTGGATATCTAGTCCCAGCACCATTTGTGGAAAAGACTGTATTCTTTCCTCATTGAATTGTCTTGGCACTCCTGTGGAAAATCAATTGAGCATATTATTATTTACATGGAACTATTATAAGGAGCTCTGGTGGCACAGTGGTTAACCACTTGGCTGCTAACCGAAAGGCTGGCAGTTCAAACCCACCAGCCGCTCTGGGAAAAAGATGGGATGGTCTGTTTCTGTAAAGATTACAGCCTTGGAAGCCCTGTGGAGAGGTCTCCTCTGTCCTGTATGGTCTCTGTGAGTTGGAATTGACTCAATGGCACATGACAACAACTACTATTATTAATACATAATATAATAATAACATTATTATATTATTATTTCTGGACTGTAAATTGTATTTTAACTATCTGTATGTCTCTCTTTATGCCAGTACCATACTGCTTTGATTACTGTAGCTTTGTAGTAAGTTATGAAATCAGGAAGTATGAGTCTTCCAACTTTCTTCATTTTTTTCAAAATTATTTTGACGTTTTGGGGTACCTTGCATTTCTATATGAATTTTAGGATCAATTAGTCAATTTCTTTAACGAAGCCAATTTGGATTTTGATAGGAATTGTTTTGAATCTATAGATCAATTTGGAGATACTGCTATCTTAATGATATTAAATCTTCCAGTCCATGAACACAGACTGTCTTTCCACTTATTTAGGTCTTCTTTAATTTCTTTCAAAAATGTTTCATAGGTTTCAGTGTACAAGTCTTGTACTTCCTTTGCTAAAATTATTCCGAAGTATTTTATTCTTTTTTTGATGCTGTTGTAAATAGAATTTTTTTCCTAATTTTATTTTGGATTTTTCTTCGCTAGTGTATAGAAATATGACTAATTTATGTATACCGATCTTATATGGTGCAACCTTGCTAAACACGTTGCTAGTTCTAATAGTATTTTTAATTGGAGTCTTTAAGACATGCTATATACAAGATCGTGTCATCTGCAAATGGAGATGATTTTATTCCTGCCTTTCCAATCTGGATGCCCTTAGTTAATTTTTCTTCCCTATTCAAAGTCATGGCATGCCCCTTGAAGAAATTAAAACTACCATTGTTAACATTGTGAATCCTCCCTGCGACTTTCTTATGCATGTACATTTTTTCCAAAATGTCATCATGTTATATATTCTGTTCTACAATCTGCTTTTTCCCCATTTAATGATATAGTATAACATTTTCTGTGTCAATAAATGTAAATATTTAGAATTTTTAAAGGCTGCATAGTATTCTATTGTATAGACATACCCCCAAATCCCCCCAACCTGTGGCCGTTGAGTTGATTCCGACTCATAGCGACCCTACAGAGCAGAGTAGAACTGCCCCATAGGGTTTCCAAGGCTGTAAATGTTTATGGAAGCAGACTGCCACATCTTTCTCCTTCAGAGAGGCTGGTGAGTTTGAACCAGTGACCTTTTGGTTATCAGCCAAGCGCTTAACCACTGTGCCACCAGGGCTCCATCATTGTCTAGACATACCATAATATATTTAGCTAACCCCCTATTGTTGGATATTTCATTTGTTTGTAGTTTTTTGTGACCATAAGCATTATTTTGCTGAACATATGTTATTGAATCATGTGTGTCTGTGTTTTATAATACAGAAGTATTTCCTCAAATGTAAAAAATTCAAGCATGATGTACAAAGCAAAATGCGAAAACCCCTTGTTAGCAACCTTCTTCCGCAGAAGGAGCTACAGTGACTAGTTTGGAGTGCATTCTTCCAGTCCCCTTTCTGTGACTATGGATGCGTGTTTATGCCACTGTAAGTTGTTTAGCTCAGTTTATTTCATTAGGATAAATTTCCGGAAGTAAATTTGCTAGGTCAAAGAGTAAATACATTTTGAAGTCTTTCGACCTGAATCACCAGACTGCCACCCAGAAAGGTGGTAACGATTTACCCTCCCACCCGCAAGGTAGGAGGCTGCCTGTCTGTGGAAGTAATTTAACCTGATGTTTCACAGCTCAACAGCGTTGTCCTCCATGTTTCAGGTGTACTTGAAGGGGAGGTCTGGAGACAAGATGATCCATGAGAAGAATATCAACCAGCTGAAGAGTGAGGTCCACTACATCCAGGAGGTTGGCGCCGCTCCCCTCTCTCTGGGAGTACCTGTGCTGTTTCTCTAAACCTCCCATTCTTACTTGGCTCCCTTCTTTTGTGGGTGCCAGTCTTTCCCTCCTGCTCCCTTCATATCCTCAAAACGCCACCACGCTCTCCCATGTGTCGTATATCATTTCTGACCCTTTGGCCCCAATCCGTTAACCAGCAAATGCTTGTTAACACCATGTACCTAGGGAAGGTGGTTCAGTGATAGAATTCTCGCTTTCCATGCCGAGACCCGGGCTTGGTTTCCAGTCAACGCGTCTTAAACGCAGCCACCACTCATCTCTCAGTGGAGTCTTGGGTGTTGCTGTGATGCTGAAGAAGTTTCAGCAGAGCTTCTGGACCAAGACATACTAGTAAGAAAGGCCTGACGACCTACTTCTGAAAGTCAGCCACGGAAAACCCTGTGGGTCCCAATGGTCTGATCTCATCGCACATGGGGTTGCCTTGAGCTGAGGGCCAGCTCAGCTGCTGCTAACAGCCACGGCGCTGTCCTCCGCCATTCTATCTAATACTGCTAGCCACCCTCTCCCAGTATTCCCTAACCCTCTCCCACTTGCTGCTACTCCTTGGCACTTGTCTCTCCAAGCAGAGTGGTAGTTGCACCAGGGCAGGGTTTGTGCTATTTTGTTGCTTGTGTAGGAGGAACTGGCTGTAGCCACTTGACCAGGGTCCCTCCTTCCCCCAGGCAGTGCCTAGAACAGTGACTGACTCAGAGGTTGCAGGTTAGGGATGGGGCATGAAGGTGGGTGGATTGGCGTGTCCTCTTTCCCTACCCCAGAGGTAAAGTCACTTGCCCTCCCTTCCCAGGCCAGGAACTGCCTGCAGAAGCTCCGAGAAGATATAAGTAGCAAGCTTGACAGAGATCCAGGAGATTCTTTCCAACAGGAGATACAGGTAACAGGAACTGCTCCATGGCTGCATCCCCGCCGAGGAGATGGGGTTCTACCAGGCAGGCCCATTTAGCAGTGACCCAGCGCCAGGGAGGGAGAGGATGTAGACACGCTGACTTCTCTGCACGCTCACAGTCTATTTGCTAGAGCCCTCAGCAGATGGGCGCATGCATTTCCACATTTCAGCCTCTATGTAGGTGCAGATGTTCCTAAAACACTGCAAACAATGAATGTATATAAATCAAATTATCTTAAGTTTATGGGCAAAGCCCCTCGTCTAGAAGAATTCTGTGATCAATCCTCTTGTAAAACAAAGTCTTGTAAAGCGGACGATCAACTGTAAATCCAAAGTTCTTCTGTGTTGACTTGGTCCTAGCCAGTTAGGTGTCTGTGTGCATAGCTGTCCCCACCCTGGTATGGGAAGCTCTCCGAGGCTAGGGGTTGCCCCTCTGTTTCCGTGTTCTGATGCCCGGCCTGGGATGCAGAAGGCCATCCGTAAATGTTTGTTAGACTGAAGTGGTTAGATAAGTTCTTCCTGCGATGGAGAATCCTGTGATCCTGCTTTTCCCAAATTCGAGGACAGAAATGTCCTCAGGAGAGCAGAGAGCTATCTCTTCCATGATGCCACCTTAGCCTCTTTTGGATTCTGAGTTACACTCCTTTGTTTGCATTTTGGTTTGGGTGAGAGAGTCTTTCTCCAGCAGCCCCTGCTGCTGCTGCTCTGCAGGGAACGTGGCCCAGCCACTGGTGCTGGGAAAGGTCCTCTTTGGCGTGGGCCTGTACTAGACCTGTGTGAGAGACGTTCATTGTGCTCTGGGTGGCGGGAGGTGCTTTGCTGCTTGAGCTCACACCTGGCTGGCAGGAGGTGCTTTGCTGCTTGAGCTCACACCTGGCTGGCGGGAGGTGCCTTTGTCAGGTGGCGGTAAGAACCTCATGTGCTCAGAGACACCCAAAGGGCCAGGCCCCTTGTTTGCACAATCGGCAGTCATGTGATGAATAATCAGGCTTTGGGTTGGAAAGAATTTTAGCAAATGCTGCTTCCCTTTTTGACTGATGCTTTGCCAGCCCTTGTCAGGATCCCCGGGGGCGAGGGAAACTGTCTGTGTGGGACAGGCAGCTGCTTGTGTTCCCTGGGCTGCAGGAACGGGCCCTGCGTTTTCCAGTCAGCTGCAGGGTTTTAGCTGAGGCTGCCTTGTCCTCCCTGCAAGGCTGGGGCAGTCCCTCTTGCGTCCTCACCCACCTCTCCACCCTCTCTTCTCTCCTTTTTCCACGGAGCACTCAAAGTCTTTTTTTTCCTTCTCTCCTTCCTTTCCTTGTAAGAGTTGAGGTCTTAGGAGAATAACATTTTGGACTTGGCTGCCTGGGACTAGGTTAACTAGCAGTTTCTGTTTCTTTGGACAGGTGGTGCTGGAAAAGCCAGATGGCTTTGGCGAAAGTCCCCCGGGCGCGTGCAGCAGCCCAGCTGCGGTGAGGGACAGAGGGAAACCCTGGTGACCGCCGCTCGATCAGGGACAGGGTGGCCTCCTCCTCGTTCCCTCATTGACTGCCTTTTCTCTCACTAAATGCTTGCCTTCTCTCTCACTAAATTTATTGCCTTCTCTCTCACTAAATGCTTGCTGTAAAAAGTCAAACCATAGAGAAACAGAAAAAGTGGAAGTTCTCCTTCCCTGATCCCATCCCGTGGAAGTATCTACTATTCCCAGTTGGCAGGGGGCAGATTCTTCTAGACCAGTGCCCCTCGGCCTGGGCTGTCCCTTGGGATGACCTCGGGAGCTTTAAGAAGTCCCCGAGTGGCACAAATGGTTGATGCTCTCTGCTGCTATCTGGAAGGTCAGAGGTTCAAGTCCACCCAGAAGCACCTCAGAAGAAAAGCCTGGCACTCTACTTCCAAGAGAATCATCCATTGAAAACCCTTTGGAGCCCAGTTCTGCTCTGACACCCATGGGGTTGCCATGAGTCAGAATTGACTCAATGACAACTGGTTTGGGAGCTATAAAAAATATGATGCCTGGCTCTCTGCCCCAGAGATGGTAATTCAATTGTTCTGAGATGTGGCCTGGACGTCAGTACTTTTAAAAGCACCTCAGGTGATTCTTGTTTAGTCCAGACAGAGTACCAGTATTTTAGGGGGTTTTCTATACACAGACAACCATATTTAAGTACCATATGTGTATATGTTAATATATATATACACACACATCCTATATACACGTGTGTAAATGAATGCGTGTAATGTGCACATACTTCTCACAAATACAGGGTCATGGCAAATACATTATTCTGTAGCTTGATTTTTAATTTTTAAATTTACTTCTATGTAAGTACATATAGATCTAGCTCATTCTTTTGAATCACTGCGTAGTATTTCCTTCCGTGGCTGTACTTTTTTTTTTTTAATTTTTTTTATTTTTATTGTACTTTAGGTGAAGGTTTGCAGAACAAATATTTTCTCATTAAACAGTCAGTACACATATTGTTTTATGACATTGGTTAACAACCCCACGACATGTCAGCATGCTCCCTTCTCAGCCTTGGAGGACCTTTTTTGTTTGGTGAAAATATACATAGCCAAAGATACACCATTTCAAACATATCTACATGTACAATTCAGTG